GAGGTAACGTGGAAGAATTGGCTGGTCTGTGGAGGGGACAGAGCTGCCCGGTGCGGAGACCGTGTTCCTCCCCGGAGCTGGCACCGGCGACTGGAGAGGGGTCATGGAGCAGGACATCGGGCATCCTTCTGTCCCGCAGGCAGGTTAGGTGCTGGTGCTGTCTGGCAACGGCTCCTTGGGTAGCTGCTGAGAGCAAAACCATGTCTGGCATTGCAGGTGTAAATGCAGAAGTTTTACCCGATGTGTTAGCTGCTTTTACCAGCCTCTCCCTGGGAATTCCCTTGCTGACACACAGCCGGTCTGCCCGGCCGATCCCGGCCCTGGTGAGGGCAAGGTGTCACCCAGCAGTGGGCTTTTTGTGTGCACAAGTGGCTCTTGCCACCACCCTGCCAGCTTGGGTTTGTACTGCAGAGAAGTGGGAGCCTTGGAAACCCCCAGAGTGGGAAGACCTGCCTCTGGATTTAAAAACAGGCGTTTGCCTCCGTTACTGAGCAAGTCTAGGTGGGCTTCCAGGGTGCGGGTGTAGGTAATGGTGCCCCTTCCCCATGGTGATGGCAGGACCCTCATGGGGACCGTCCCATGGTGTCAGTGCAGCAGTGCCAGGCACTGGTGATGCTGGTAGGACCTGGGATGGTGCCCGGCACCCACCAGCCCTGCAGCAAGGGAGGGGGTGGAAGAGTCCTGGGGTAAACCTGGGTGCTCGGTGCTGCCCTCGGCTCCTGCCCCCAATCTGGGGCAGCTCAGTTCCATGTGAAATGGGGGACGGGTGCCACTTCTTCCCCCAGGAGCATGGGGACCATCAGTGTGATGGATGTGAGACAGCAATAGATCTGCAGGCAGGCCCTTCTGAGCAGCTCTTAAACTGCAATAATGCTTATTTACTTCTCATCGGCAGAGCAATCAGAATTAAAAGGTCACCCCATCCTCTGGCCCTCCCTGCAGTGGGAGTGCAGGAGTGAGCCAGGTTTCAGGGATCAGCAGGAAGGACAATTAATCCTCGCTGCCAGCAGTAATCACGTTTGCTTTTCCAGCATAGCATCCTCCTATCGCTATACGCTCCTCGTGCCCCCAAACCTCTAGCTTTTCCATACTGTCCCAGTGGCAGGGAGCACGGTGCATCCTCCCTGCCAGTCTGGGTCCTGGCACGCAGGAGGGCTGGGCAAACTTCCCAGCCCTGCCACTGACCCGCTGTTTGTCCTTGGTCACGTCTCCTCACCTCTCACCTCCCAGCTGCATCGTCCGTGTTGACTCAAAGCTCTTTGGAGCAAGTCCTACCTCTTCCCCACGGTGTTGGCCCAGCACGGTAAGCACGGCCAGTGCGCCAATACAAATAACACACAGACTACAGATAATATAGTCACGATATAAACGCGGAGGGAGAGATGCCCTTGGCCCCAAACTAAGGGATGGGGGGGGAAAAGCCCACCCTGTGTGTGTGTGGTGTGCGGGAGCCAGCCCAGCCTCCTCGCTCAGCGCTCTCCAGAAGGGCTCAGCAAGAAGAGCATGATTTTTTTTTGGGGGGGTCGTCATGGCAGAGCGTGCAATGAATCCTGCCTGCCTGTGCCAGCTGTGACTCACGGCTGCGGCTGTTCGAGAGCCTGGAAGGGCTCCAGCCAGGAGCTCAGCGCTCCCGAGTTTCTGCCTTCTTGCCCTGCCACTGCTGGGCTCTGAGCCAGGAGCTGTCCTGTCCCTGCTCCATCTGTGCCTCAGTTTCCCCATCTGCAAAATAGGGGTAAAGCTTACCTGCGGGTCTTTGGTGTGACGTTTCCTGGGCTCTACCGGGGAGAGACCTGGAAGGTGGGAAGGACTGAGGCAGGTGGGGCTCTACGGCACGAAAGACCGGAGCTGGGCAGAGCACACGTGGTCATTAGCTGGGACTGCTCTGCCACAGATGGTGGGAGAAATTCCCCGTGCAGACAGGCAGCGTGGAGGCAGTGTACAGGCAGCAGAGAGCCGTCTCCTGAGCAGGTGAGCCATTTCTCTCCAAACAAGGTGGTTTAATTGGCTTCCGTCTAGTTGATGAGCAAAGTGCCCTTTGGTGGGTTTTTAAATCAGCGCAAATCGGGTTTCTCAGAGCGATGCTGAGGCCACCGTGCTTTCAGCTGGGTATTTAATACTTTTGGCAGGTAGAAATGCAGCTCTTGGCTCTCCCGCAATTGTGACCAGACGCTAGGGAGCAAGTGTCCCCTTAAGTGTGTGTGCAGATGGTTTCGGGGTACTGCTGGAGTTTGCTCTTAATTGCATTGCGTCAGCGTTTGGGTGCTGCTTGGTGGCAGCTCGACTGAAGGGGATCCTCGCAGGACGGGTCAGGGCTGTGCTGGGGTGTCATGGTCCTGCAGAACTGCCTTGGGTTGGGGTAAGACTGAGTTTTGGGGTACCTGTGGCTGGGTCAGCATCTCCCCAGGACCTTGGGGGAAGAGATATGCAAACACCCCCCTAAAATGCGGGCACAGCCACGGTCTTCATTAGCTCGGATGGACCAAGAGGAGCTGACTTGTGCCTCTGGCATCTCTCAGGTCTTCACTGCCTGTTCCTCCCTCCTTTGGGGTAACCTCGTCAGCCCTGCCAGGGCCAGCCTGGCCGGGGAGATTTCTGGGCAGCTTCGGGAAGGGTCGCTCCAACCCGTACAAGACCCATCCAGCAGCAGGTCGTGACCAGACTTGGCTCAGCATCGTTAAGGGTCGGATCCAGTGTCATGTCCTGGGGACAAGATCTTTGCAGAGAGGTTCTCCTCTGAGCCCTGGGAGGCAGCTGCAGGTTTTCCTTTGCCCAAATTCCCCGGGGGCTGGCGGGGGAGCCGCCGTGGGCCAGCCTTTGCGGACAGCGTGGGACTCGGGGTGGCCGTGCCCGGTGCTGGGCAGCTCGATGGCATCGGGGAGGCAAACGGGCTCTCGTGTCCCCAGCACCAAGCAGCCCTGGTGCTCTGTATACATGCAACCTCCAGGCTTGCACCCGGAGCCGGGGTGGATGTGGGAACATGGCAAGGGCTCCTTGAGCGGCACCGGTAGCCCGTGGCACATTGCTGGTGGGCCCTTGATTTGGCAGGGCAGGGAGGGGGCAGTGAGGCAATCTGCAGGCGCTGACGGCTGTGCATGGCTGTGCACTGGCTCCTGGCTCCCAGCCCATGTGATGTGTTTGAGGGGGCACACTGACATTTCAAGAGGAAGGAAAAAAAAAAAAATAAAAATACCCAGAGACCCACAGGGAGCTCTGAAACGCCTGAGCCAGAAAAGAGAGCAAGAGAGGCAGACGTCTGCACGGAGCGGAGGGATAAAACCGGGCAGGGAGGGAAAAGTTGCCGGGGCAGGGAAAGGATGTGAGCAAAAGTGCCGGCTTGGAGCGGGGAGGATGCGATGGCCGGTGGCAGAGAAACTGGGGCAGCGACCGTCAGCCACGGAGACGGCCCCACCGTCCGCACCAGCCCACCGGCCACGCGTCCCTCGCTAGCTTGGGGACAGGAGCGGGGACCGATGGGCGACGGGAGCTGGGTGGCAGCAGATCGCAGGCTCGGGAGCTCCTGCATCCATCCGCGCCGTGCACCGACACCGCTCCGGCTCCGCTTGCCCGTGATTTGGCTCTGGATGTAAGGCGACAGTTGCCGTGTGGTTAAACGCCGACCGATCGCTGCGCGTACGCTTCCTCGAGGTCAGTGCCGCGTAATAAGGTCGGTAACAATCCACCTAGCTGCTCGCTTTCGCTGCATACATGTTTAATAATGAACCGATTCTGTATTTAATTAACATAAACAGCTAATGCAACTCGATATGTCTCCTTAGATTTAACTTGACAGAGACGGCATGTTGCTTTAAATGCCAAGTGATTAGTAAAACCATATTTAATTTGGTTTAAACATATGCAATAAGATGCATGTGTTTGTTGCACAGATTTTTGGAGCCGTGCTCCGAGCCGTCTCCTGGTTCCTCTCGGCTGCCTGGGTGCGACCATGCTTCCTCGCTGGGCAAAGCATCCCTTTGGCGTTTCCCCTAGAGCCGCGCCGAGGCTGCGGGAGCAGGAGAGACCCGCCGAGCCCGGGGACTACAGGCTGACTCCGTTGCTCGTGGGTATGAACCTGGGGGGGAGACGTTGGGAGGGGACGCAGGTTCTGGAGGTACTGGGTGATGCTGGTCCCTGGGGGACGGTCCCAGCCCCACGCAGGTGGGTTCTGCCCCAGGGAAGCGATGGTGCTGGCTGGGCTGGATGCCCGGTGCTGGTGGGAGGAGGCAGGCAGGGCTGCAGGCAGCTGCTGCTGCCCTCCTTTTGCTTGAATAAACCTCGCTGCCTGGACAGCTTCTGACTGGCGCTGGTGGAAGGGCTGCAGGGTGGAAGGGCTGTAGCTCTCCCTCCGACGTGCCCCAGCGGGGGTTAGGAAGGGCAGGAGAGAGCACAAGGGTTTGCTCGGTGCCGGCAGGGACGGGTGGAGGGATGGCATCTGCCTCTGGGGACGGTGTGGTGGCCTTGTCCTGGTGTCACCTGCAGCATCCCACTCCGAGGTGGGATGTATCGGGGGATGCAGTGCCAGCCAGGGACCCCTGCGGGGACCGGGCACCTCAGTGTGCTCGTGCCCTGCGGACGGCGGGGGGCACGTCCCAGCAGCGTCCCTATGCCATGGTTCAGCCAGGGTCTCTGATCAGGCTGACAGTGAGCCCCATCGGATCTTACCCCATGTTTTCAAATTGTGAGTGCGCTTTCCTGCATCTAAGAGGCTTTAGACGTGGATCTGAGCAATTTTTTTTTTTCAGCATTTTTGATTTTTAGCTAGCTGTGACTAACCAGGCTGGCACAGCAGGCTGTGACCAACCACCTACATGCTACCTGTGTGCTTATAAATAGGGTCTGTTCTCCACACCCCATTTGGAGCGTTCCTGGGCTCCTGAGCTCCTCCGTAACACCGGAACAGCTTCTTCCAGCCTCTCCCCCGCAGCCGCCAGAGTGTAGCATCACCCCATCTCCTGGCAGGAGTCACCCCAAAAGGCAGTGTCCCCCCCAATTCCTGCCTGCAGGCTGCGGGAGCAGGGCTCGGTGCCGTGGCTGGACCTGCCAAGCTCCGGGCTGTGCGTCCAAGCACATCGCGATGGCAGCGGGAGCCAAGTCTTCGAAAGAGTTGGGTCCACCCGTGCCAAGACAGAGACGGGCCAAGTGTTGTGCCGGGCTGAGCGCGGTGCGGCTCTCCCTGCAGCAGCCAGCATCACCGCAGTCCCCGATACGCTGAGTCGGGGAAAATCCCCCTCCCGGGTGCTTTCTCATGGAGCTGAGCTCTTTGGTGACTCCAGCCGGAGGCTATAATCCCAGGCTGCAGGGCAAGGGCTGGAAAAGCCATGGGTTTGGCCTGAATTCTTCCCTTAGTGGCTTTCTCATGAGCTCCCCTTCCAGCAGGGATGCTGGAGGGCTGGTTCCTTCCCCTGGCCCTGCCATTCTATTTCAGATGAATTTGCTTTTGATGAGGTGCAGCGCATAGTCGAAGCTCCTGTCAGGCGGCTTCGGCCTCCCGCCAGCGAGCGAGCGGTTAGCATGACTGCACTAATGGCAGGAGATGAGAGGAAGTGATTAGCTTGCTTGAAAAATTGCACCAAGTGCATTTAGCAAAACCGCAGCGCTGGCGCGGTGCATGGCTGTACGCCGGGCAGGGGCATCGCCTGCTCTGCCAGCATGCTTTCCCCTGCACGGGAGCTTTTTGCTTCATCCTTTAGCTTTCCTCTCCATCGACTTGTTGCAGTTTGTCTCTGCCTTTGATCTCAAGCTCTCTGAAGCAAAGCTTGCCTGTGTTTCCAAGCTGGCGTGGTAATTCCTGGGCTGCCGGCATGCATCCCTCGTGGCCGTCCCCAAGAGCGTGACGCAGCCCGCAAATGGCCTCATGCCTGGCTCTTGGCTATAATTTCGCAGGTGCCTGTGGCCGTGGGCCAGGCTGGAGGGTCCTGCGATGGACCCCCCTCCCGGTGCCGGACCGTGCTTCTCCTTCACATTTCTTCTGTTATGGAAGCGATTGCAGTGGCCTTACTCTGTTTAGTGACTTTCCTTGGTGCCTCATTAGAGGAAGAAATGGTCCTGTTGGGAATTGGTTTTTGATCTTGTTGTGTGTCCCCTCCAGCCCACCCTCCTCCTCCTCCTCTTTGCCAGCCCCACCTCACTCCCAGCTGACTCCACGACCTCCCCACACCACTGCCTTCTTGCTCTGCTTGCGGAAAGATGAGAATAAAGAATGAATCCAAAGCCCTGACCACAGGGCTCAGATGAGGTCCTGCCTCCAACCGAGCAAATACATGCAGCCGCGGGTTATCGGTGAAGGCTGGAGCCCGAGCCTCCCGCTCCCAGGGGGCTGGCAGCAGCTCTCCCAAGCTTTTCCCATTGCTCCATCCCCAGAGCGGTTTTGCACAGCATGCTGGCATGCAGCTTCCCTGCCCTCTGCCACATCACGAGCTGTTTTGGGGGCTGTTTCCCCCTTGCAGCGGGACCCTGGCCCCCCACCATCACCCCCCCCTGCTCCTTGTCCTCCCACGCAGCGTCTCTCCCCACCTCCCTCCCTCTGCTCTGGGCTAAGAGGAACCATCGATTTGGTGTCTTGAGGGGGCAGTTTATCGCTTTCCTGATGCCTGATAGATTGGAATTGATTTCCAGAGCAATTTGCCTGAGCAGCTCAAGGCAGAAGTGCCCGGGACCCATGCTGCAATCTGGCTTTGCAGGAGCATGGTGGGGACGGCTGCGTCTCTGGGGCTGTTCCTGAATTGCGGCACTGGTCAGTGCTGGGAATCTTCCAGTGAGACCCACAGGGCAGGGTGGGTTCTCGGAGCAGCACCAGTTCACCCGCCTGCAGGGGAACGGGGGATGGAGACGGCAGATTTGCAGGTGATGGGGGCTCCGAGGGCCCAGGTCCTGCCGTCATTCCAGGCTCATCCCGAAGGCTTCTCCCCTCAGGCCAAGCACGAAGGGGGACCTGGATTCGCAGGGAGACTTGGCTCCGCTTCGCCGCATGACTGCGGGTGAGTCACTGCCCCGCGTCCATGCACGCTCTGCACGGAGGCAGACGCCGCGCTCGCCTGTCTCAGCATGCTGGTGGGAGTCAGCGGGCGCTGCCAAGATGCTGGGAAAACTCCGGGTCCTTTTGGGAGATGCTGAATACCGATCCAGTCAGGGCGCTGCAATGGGCATGAAGGTGGCACGTGGCTCTGCTGGTGTTTTTCCCCTGCTCTGACCCGGGGTTTGATCCCCTCACATCTCAGCATCCCCACCTGCAGCCAGACTCATGCACTCTGGGGCAGACCCTTTCCTCCCCCAGCCCCGTGCCTCAGTTTCCCTCTCCCATCTGGGGCCAGGGGGGCTCCCCAGGCTCGGACTGAGCTGGTGCCACCCGGGCTAATCCCATCCCAGTTGCCAGGCTGCCGGCTGCGCCGCCTCGAATCGCCTCTGTCGCGTGGGTGGGAGATGAGACCACAATGTGGCTTGTGTTTATGCTGTGAAAAGCCTGGTCCCTTCCATCCTCTCTTCTCCTTTATTTTTATCCAGCGTCCCCGAGCTGCTGGCATCTCCCCAGCCACTGTGCCATCCCTGCCAGCTGAGGATGCGGCCTCTTGCCAGGGCACGCGGGGCTCCTTTCTCCTCCAGTCCCCAGTGGGAAAGACTCTGCCCTGGGCAGGGATGCTCTCCATGCACAGAGGATGCCACTGGCTTCAGCCTCCTGCCAAAGGTCAGGGAGGAAGCTGATGGCAGGGGAAAGATTTGTCCCGGCTCTCCCAGCTGTGAGCCATCCTTCCCACACCGCTTTGCCCTCCGTGAGCTCACCCTCTGTCCATCTTGTTTTCCCTCGCCTAAGCGAGGGCAGCTCCTTTCTGCCTCCCACTGCAGCGGGGATAGGTGCTTCCTACTGCCGGGGTGTCCGAGGGGGCCAGGACATGTGGGGAGAAACCCTTGCTCGGGTGCTGCCCTTCCCGCAGGGCAATGGGGACATTCCTGCCCACTGGCTGCCTCTGGAGCATCCCCCGATGCTACCAAGCTCTGCTTACTGTGCCTGTGGCACAGGTCAGGTCACATCTGTGCCACTGCAGGCATCCGGAGCGACCCATCCCCTGCCACCAGAGGAGAGGGGTCCGCTCCGTCTGGGAGCCCCGGGAGCTCACTGTGGTATTTGCTGCTCTACCAGCTGCTGGGCTCGGTGCTGCAAGGTGAAAGCGGAGCCGCTTGGTCACCATATGATCGGTCACACAAGGCTTATCCACTTACAGACCCCCTGATTGCCTTGTCAGCAGAGCCCACCCCACCGGGCTTTTGCTCTTCAGCATCACGGCCGTCTGTCAGACAGCCACTGCGCGAGAGAGCAGGGATGGGGCTACCTTGGTGCCGTCCCCTCCGGTCCCTAGCTTGGGCGAGGGTAGGGATGGCTCCCAGCTTGGAGCTGGCAGGAGATCCTGGGGAGATGCTGAGCTGAGGACATAGTGCGAGGAAGAGGAAGGACAGGGGCCAGTTCATGCTTTTCAGGTGGCTGCTGCTGTGGGACAGCAGCGTGGTGGCAGGGAGCCCTGCCTGCAAAAAAAACCCACAGGGGAGCTGCAGGCTGAGGCGGGTAAGGCTGGAGGAGGTCCTCGGGGTGCCAGGTCCCCCTTCCCTGGGTGACAGCATGGGGGCTGGCCTGGTTTATGTGCCCCATCTCAAAAGAGGGATGTGGGGATGGGGCTCTGGGCAGGCGGGTGCTGGCCCTGCGCTTGGCGCTGCCGTCCATGCGAGTTAGGAGGTGAACTCGTCTCCCATTTCCATGTGCACGCGTGGGTGTGATAACACCCGGTGAGGTGGGAAGTAGCTGCTGCTTTTTACAGGGCTGGCCAGATGGGGTTTCTCCTTCAGTTTGGGTTTTGACAATGACATGGGAATTTATCCGGTCGTTTCTCTGCTTCCAAAGGAAAGGAGCTGCTTGTCAGGGCAGCCTCGCGGAGAGATGCCAGCTGGACCGCCCCGAGCTCCAGCCAGGGAGCAACCAGTGCACACCAACACATTGCATGGCTTCGGACTGGCTCCTCGTCCCTGCGCAGCTCCGGCGGCATCGGCAGGGCTGGCATTAGTGGGGTGCAGGCAGCATCCAGGGCACGTAGAGGCTGGGGACCAGCAGGGCCAGGTCTGCAGGGTCGCATCCGGACTGCCGCTGCGGACGGGCACCGTGCCCCTGCTCGCCTTTGAAGAGCCAAGCGGCATCCTGGCTGCGGTGCCAGTGGAGCAGGGTTGTGGGGTCTGCGCTAACCTGGCTGGGAAGTTCCCGATGAAATGGTCAGCGGGTGATGTTTTATTTTCCTTGGTTCCACTTGAATTTGGGAGTGAAAGACATGGCAGGGAGCCCGCTGCCTGCTGCTGAGCCTGGCCTAAGCCGCAGCTCGGTGCTGCGGGGAGGGACCCTTGAGGATGGGAGAGCTGCATCCCCCACCGGGCATAGCATGGGCATGGGGGATGTTTGTCCCGGGACGGATGTTAATGGTCCCTTGTGGGCAGCCTTGGCATCACCTAGCTTTTCCCAGGCAGTTCGGCGCCGGGTATCCATCAGCCTGGGGAGTAAGAGGATGGCAGGGAGGTTTCAGCCCAGCCACCCATCGGCTTTCACTCCCCGTATTGCTCGCCCGGTGCTCTGCGAGGCATTGGGGGGGACGTGCAGACACCCTCACCTTAACACTCATGTGCTGGGAAGGACCCCAGGTCTGTCCCGCTCACGGCACCCCCAAGGGTGAAACAGGGATACGTTTCTCTGTGGATTGATTTTAAATGAACAGATCTGGCTGCTTAAAGCACTGGCGGTAGTTGGACCCATTCGGCACGTGGCGGCGGCGTGGGTGAAAAGTGCTTGTGTGTCCCCCCGTGGCGTGTCGGCTGCCTTGCTGCTGCGCCTGGGCACGGCTTTGGTAGGAGAACACCGGCAGCCGTGCAGCTCCCAGCGCTTTTTGGCTTTGTTCGCTGGTCCCATTGTGGGGGCGAGACGAAAGCCTGAGGCAGGTCCCGGAGGGCACTTGACCATCGTGCCCCCATCCCCAAATGAGTGCAAATAGAGTGTGGCTGAGCCAGGGACAGGGACCCCCTGGGCAGCAATGCCTCTAAAGGTCCCTTTACCCCAGCAGGTCCCGGCTCAGGCAGGGGCAGGTATTTCTGGGGTCGGCTGCGCAGCACAACAGGAGTTAAGTGCAGCCGGAGCAGGAGCCGTGCAGGCTCTCCCTGCTCTTCCCGGCTATTGCTCCCATCTCCCGGGGCCTGGCAGCAGCGTGGCAGGGAAGGGGTTAGTGCCGAGCGGGGCTCTGGGTGCTGGGCAGCCTCCTTGGGTGCTGTGCAGGCAGCAAGCTGGCAGCGCAGCAGCCGCAGCCTTTGGGAAGAAGGCGAGTGCATCGCGCTCTTCCCACTGCCTTAATGGCCGGGCGCGGGGGAGCCGCATCGCTCCGAGGGGCTTCTATTCTTTCGCCTCCCTTTCTCCCCAAATGTACTCTCTCCTTCCCCTCCCCTCGCCCCTTTTTGTACAATTGCTTTCTTGGACTATTTTTCATGCTCCGCTAACTGCCGTTGCTTTCACGGCCCGTGTGAGCCTCGCTGCCTCATGAAGATTTATGAAACTGCAGTAATAAACTGTGTTTGAAAGATCCTCTTTATGATAAAGCCCTGCCAAGCTGCTGGCGGGGGGGATCCGAGCGGACCGTGCCACCGATCCTGCAGCTGCTCTGACCCGGCGTGGCTCTCGCTGGGCAGCACCCGCAGCACAGGGCGGGTTTTTGGGGGCCTCTCCCACCCCCCGTCTCCCAGTGAGGGAGCAGGGAGCTGGTGGAGAGCTGCTACTTGGACTGCAAAGCCCCAGTCCTCAAGAGCATCACCCAAAGCATGATATCGGGCTCCGGTGCCTTTGGTGCCGCTGCTTCTCCCAGGAAGGAGGCAGTGGCCGCATCCTGCTAGGAACCCGGGCTGTGGCCCTGGCACGGGTGACACCTCTGCCGGCAGGTAAGGAAGATGGATGGATGAATCGGCAAAGAGAATCGTGCTCCTTTAACCCCCCGCTGCTCGGAGAGGGGCTTGCCAGGATATACCGTGGGATTTTGGCTGTCGTGGGAGCCCTGCGCCCGGCAAAGGAGCCGCCTTCAGCCCCTGGAGACCTGGGGGCTGCCTCCCCCGTCCCACCGAAGCAGTTTACCAGCCGCCGTGGAAGCTGTCCTGCACCCGTGGGTAAGCGACGGGATGGTCCCTGTGCGGGGGACACGTCCCGGAGGGGCACCCTGCTTGGCTGGGCTGGGGCAGTGCCAAGACGGGGACTCTGGGCAGGCTCCGGCCACCAGCTCTCCCACCCCAGTGACCCACTTGGAAGCAGCCCTGGGAAGCACTTTCCAGGGATCTTGCTGCTGCCGTTGCTGGCGTCGGGGCAGTCCGTGTGTGGGTACCACTGTTCCAGCATCAGCGCACGGTCCCGGCACGGCAGGAAGAGAAACAACTTGGTGGGGGGATTTCGGGTGGCAGGATGTAATTATCCCCTTGGGGTGAGGCCAGGAGGGAAGGATTAACACCCTCTTTCCATGCACCATGCCAGGGAAGCACGAAAGAGCGTGGATGGTTTAAGGTCCCTTTCCAAGGGAGCCCCCGTACCCGAGTTGTTGGTCGTTCCCTTATCAAATGGTGTCTGCCCGCTCCAGGCTGGGATCTGGAGGGGAAGGTGGCTGATGTGGGGACAGGTACATGCATGTCTGTGGTGGCTTTTCCTCCTCTCACCTTAGCGGGGTTCGTGGATTATGGGGTTCGTGGTGCTGGGGCTGCCTCCCCCTCCACCTGCTCCGGAGCCCGGCGAGGGATGTGGGAGCGGACGCGGCGCAGCCGGGGGTGGAAGAACCCCTGACGGCATCCAGCTTTGCTCTGACCCCTGTGCAGATTGTGCAGGGCTTTTCAAACCATCCTTTTTAGTAGTCGGCAGAGAGACAGCGAGCTGGCGCGTTCCGCTCTCGGAGCATGTAATTAGGGAGCGGGGAGCTGCATGCTGATGCGTGGCTCGGCAGCGAGAGGAGGAGGAGGAGGGTGGGAAGGAGCCGGGAATGCAGCCTCAGCCCAGGGCTGCTAAACCCGGGGGCTGGTGGAGGCACCGTGGAGGCGGCTGCAGGGAACCAGCCCCTCTTGCATCCCCCAAGCCCCCGTCCCTGCATCTTCCTCCGGCTTGAGGCCTCCTCGCTGCCACGCTGCTGCTCTCCCCAGCGAGGGAGAGGAGCTGCAGCTCCTTCCTCCCAGCCTTGTCACTGCTGTCGCTGGGGGCTTTCGGGGTGTCCCGTCACCCCTCTTTCATAGCCTTCCTGGGCTCATCGTTCCCATGGGATGCAATGAGGCTGGGAGTCCTGGTGGCACCCAGGATCCAGCACCGCAGAGGGACTGGTTTGGTGGGAACGGGCCACGCTGGGTGCCCTGCCTGTGCCGGGGGGGGATGCCTGGGGTTCCACTCCCCCTCTCCTCCACCTTAGACCTGAGAGCTCCAAGGATGCATCCAGGCACTGCCAAGGGGCATCTGATGCTGGAGCTGGGATGGGTGCCGGGTGCTGGATGCGGCCCCTGCCAGTGCATCCCCGCTGCTTTGCCATCATAGAGCAAGCGCTTGAGCAACCGGCCGAGGGCAGGAGGGAGTTTTCTGCCTGATAGCAGCAAACCCGGGGTGAGACGTGTGTGTTATGGGGGGCTGTTAGGTGAAAGGAGAGGTGGGAAGGCAGCTTCTGGGGCTCAGCAGGGTGCTACAGGAGAAATTGCTCCGTCTGTGTTTCCCATCAGTGCTGGAGTTTACCAGAGGCTCCTCAGCCGGTGGTACCCGGGGACGCTGGGACGATGCTCTCAGCCCTGCATCGCGCTGCCTCCTCCTCTGCCAGCAGAAGGACCGAGGTGTCTCCTCTGACATCTCTTCTGTGCCACTTTCCCTGGGAGATCTCGGGGCATTTTGTACGTGGCAGATGTGCTGCCGCGACCTCCCCCATGCAGCGGTGACGCGGGGACCCGGCCGAGCGAAGCGGTGAGGTGGGGAGGGACTGGGAACTTCGGCTCTTGCTCAAATTCTGCCGCTGTCTGCTGGGTACGGGGGTGACAGTCCCCTGGCTGAGGTCACGCTTGGTGATGGAGCTGTGGAAGGAGCTGGACTGGGTGTTTTCTGGTAGAGGAAAGCGGGGATCAAGCTTTGGCGGGGGTAAGGAACTGCCTGTAGCGTTTGCTGACAGCGTGATATCCTTGCCTGGCTCGTAGCAAACTCCCTTGTATGACCTTGAGCAGAGGAGTTATGTCTGTAGCACATGCTGGAGTCCTGTCCTACATTAATAACACAATCAGTTGATATAAAGCTAATACGTTGGGCTGATAAATAATTAAGGGAAAAGGAAAAACCCTCTATGATTTGCTTAACAGGAGCTTGGGAAGGAAGGGAGGGGGAAAAAAAGACAAGGAGGGATATGAATAATGGATCAAGGTTAAACGGTGAGCGAAAAAGTAAAGCCTTAACGCGGCGAATCCCTGCAACACACATGCTGCATGTTGCCAAACTAGTTAGCGGCGGCAAAGACAGCTCGTGGCCTCGGCACAGGCACGGCGGTGACAGCCGGGACCAGCCCAGGGCTGTGTGATGGGGGCTTAGATGGCACGAGACCCTCAAAAGTGGCTTCTTGGGGTGGGGGCTGCTCTGCAGCAGGCGTGGGGCTGGGAACCACGGAGTGGCCTCATCCTGCAGCCACCGAGGAGGTGCCAGGCGCTGGCAGCGTGCAGGGACTTCCAGGCATTCATTACCACTCGCATTGTGCGCGCTCGGCACAACTTCCCTGGAAATTAAAATCACAACGTGCAGCTAATGAATTATTAGCAAAGGGACAAGTCCCTTTTGCCTCGCTGCACGCGTGACCGCCTTGCCTGCCCTCCCTGCCTGCACTCGCTGCCCGCTCTACCTGCCCGGGATGGGGTGAAAGTCTGCAAGAGGGCTGGGATGGGGCAGAGCATCCCTGCGATGCCGGGTTTGGTGCCTGTGGGCTGCCCGGGGAGCAGCGGCTGCAGGATGGGCGGCTGACCCTCCGGTGGGGGTCTCTGGCAGGCAGGGCATGGGGGATCCTGCCTGCCCCCGTGGGCAGCAGCACAGGGCAGGCGCTGATGCGCAGACACGAGCCTCCCCCCACCCTGGCCCGCATTTAATTTTCTTTTTGGTTTGTCCATGTGTCCGTGTCCCCCTGTCTGTCTGTGCTCCGGAGCGGTGCCCGGCTCCTGTGTCTTGTCTGTGCCGTTTTAATAACCCAAGGCTGTTTTATCCATGTTTCAGTCTGAACATCGTGGTCTCGGTGGCATCCCAGCCCCTCCATCCCTCCTGCTGCCCCCTGCCCCATCCATCTCCTGCCACCACCAGCCCCGTGCCCGGGAGCGGGGACACGGCTGCCATCGCAGGGGGATAAACCCTGTGCCCACCAACCCCCTGGTTCTATCCCATTGAGGGATAACTCTGCTCCCAGCTAGGCTCAGCTATCACTTCTAGTCTAAAACCCCCTCCCCATCCCCAAATCTTAGCACCCCACCTCTGCCCCATACCAGCAGGACCACCTCGGGGCTGGCCGTGACCCCGGCTCTGCTCTCCCCTCCCCGTGCAGATCCCGAGAGGACGAGCACCCACATGATCTCGGCGGATGATGCCGAGTACCCGCGGGAATACCGGACCTTGGGCAACGGCACCCGGCGCTTCTCCAACGTAGGGTTGGTGCACACCTCGGAGCGCCGGCACACCGTCATCGCCGCCCAGAGCCTGGAGGCCCTCACCGGCCTCCAGAAGTCGGAGATGGAGCGCAAGCGGGATGCCTTCATGGACCACCTGAAGAACAAGTACCCGCAGCACGCGCTGGCGCTGCGGGGACAGCAGGAACGCATGCGGGACCAGGTAAGGGGCGTCTTCTCGGGGTTGGGGGGAGGGGGGGGACGGGGACCCCATCTTGTGCTTTAGGAGGAGAAGCAGCTCGCCGGGGGCTTGGATGGTGCACGAAATGGGTGGCCACTTGCAGCAGCCCCATGGGGGGGAGCATCCCCCAGGTCTGAGGAAAAGCATCCTCCAGCCCCAGTGGGGAGTACCCCCCCTCTCTCCCCAGGGCTGGGGGGGTCCCAGGCAGATTTACCCTGCCATAGGGATGGATTTGATCCCGGTGGCTGTTGGCAGCCGTGGAGAGGAGAGGGACGGTGCAGAAGGGTGGGTGTGATGGCCGTGATGGGCAGCTGGCCTCTGGATTTGCCCCACGGAAGGGTGACAACCAGCCCAGGTCTCTGCAGATTTCGGCTGGGCTGCAAACCCCAACCTCACCGGGGAAGGGGCAGCCTGACCCACGGGCTGGTGTCTGCAAACCCGGCTGCGTGCCTGGCACTGCACGGCCCCGCAAGCCTCCTCCGGGCTCCCCACATCTCTGCAGCCCCCCCAGCTCTGAAGCGGTTGCTCCCTGCCATAGCTCGCATGGTATGAAAGGCTGAAATAAAGAGTTTGCCCAGGCAAAGCTTCGCCCCGACCCTCGCCCCCAGCCTGGCTGGAGCTCTGTGGCATGTCCCCGGGCCACTGTGGCATGTCCCCGGGCCACTGTGGCATGTCCCCGGGCCAGCCCGCGGTGCCCTGGCACGGCCCATCCCCAAGTGTCTGTGCAGTAGTGCTGGGGGTGAGGATTTAGCATTAATCCTTGTTTGGGCAGGCTGTTCCTGTGAGCATGGGCTTAAATCAAAACCTGGCTGCGGAGCCCCAATGCTCTCCTCTGTGTTATGGACCCCAAAAATCTGAGGATGTTGGTGCAAAACCATGGCCAACCCTGGCCTGAGCAGCACAAGTGCTGGGATGGGGATGCTTTCTGAGCCGGGGGGGGTTCAGTGCAGCTCCTGGGGCAGATATCTCCCCCCACCCCGGCTGCCCGGTAAGGTGCCAGTGAGGCTGGTGAGTTTCTGGGGCTGCGGGGCAGGATGAGCAGAGGCAGCGAGGGGCCACGGCTCTGCCCCAGCATGTGCCGCTGTGCTGTGCGGGGTGCGGATGGGTAAGGGATGCCCGGGATTTGGTACCCATGTCCCCGCATGGATGTCCTTCAGTTTTCTGCTCCCCAGGGACTCAGTCTTCCCACAGGGACCAGCCAGTCCTCAGGGCAGGACAGTGGGTGACACGTCTGGGCACCCTTGCCGAAAGCAGCAAAGGAACGGTTCCTAGGGACAATATCCATCCCCCGTGTCCAGGGGTGCCCCCCAGGGCCAGGCAGCACCCCAGGGTGCTGGGGACCCCAGACCGCTCCTCCTTCGGGTAACAGCAGTGCCCCCGGTGATGCTGTCGGGGCAGCAATAAATCCCCACCTAAACGGGCACTTTTTATAAAAAGGCAGAGGGGAGGGTGAGCGCGGAGCAGCTGGAGGATGTGGCTGGAAAGAAATCTTATATCATCTCCAACTAGACACCTCCCCGAGGGACGGAGGCGACGGCTCCCAGACCTAGCGCGGCAAAAAGAAATCCGGCGTTGTAAGGAAAACCGGCGGGGCCCCGGTGTGCCGCCCGTGCCAAGGCGGCAGCAGCAGCATCGCCGCCTCCTCCGAGCTGCCACCCGTCCTGCACCCTCCTTCACCCAGCGGGGCTGCTTTGGGGAGAACTGGGGAGGGGGGGGTCCCCGCTTTGCAGCCCCTCTCCTTGCAAAAAAACTCGTGGCTGGATGCAAAGTGGAATAGCCAAATCCCGCACAGCTGTGGTGTTTTGCACCAGCCGAGCATCCAGATTTTGGCTAAGGGGTAATTATTGATGGCGGCTTTGCCATCGCCATTAACCTGAGCGGGGCCGGGTACTGCACATGGGGCACGGTCCGTACCTGCGCTGCCGCTCACAAGATGGAGCGGTGACATTTCCAGCCGCAGAGTGATATTTCTCAGTAAATAACTAGGAATCTTTCCTCTCTTAGTACAACTATTTAAAGATTTTAATTTTTTTTTTATAAGCAGCAGCTATTAAAAAAATCCAGCCCATGTTGACTCGGGGTCTGATAAGATTTGGAGGATTTGTATAAGGTGAAAGAAAGATGATCTGGATTCTGGAATTATCTTCTTTATTTCTGAACCCCCTCGCTCGGGGCCATGGGTGCCCAGTGCGACCGGGAGGGGTGTCCAGGCATTTATTGGCACCAGTCAAGCCCAGCCTGGCTTTTTGGGGCTTGGTTGTGGAGGGGTGAGGGTCCCAGACCGGCTCCGTCCCTCCCCATCCCGGGCAGGGTGCTGGGCAGGGGCACAGCTCCATCCCTCAGCCCAGCCACAAGCATCACCTATTTGCAACTGGTGGGGAAAGAAAAAAAAGAAAAAAAAAATCCTATTTTTTTTCTCTTTTTTTTTTTTTTCCTTCTTTTTTCTTCATTTTCCCCACAGGCGGTAAATAATAACGGGGAGAAAATATAACTAGGAACACTGGAAATGCCGGGTGCCAACCTTTAAATGACATTGGGATACAACACTCTGGGCCTGCCTGAAACGTTTGAAACTTGCTTTGCCATTCTAGGGGAGCCTGGCAGGTATTTCAGATCACAGGCTTTGCTATTTTGTTTTTTTTTTTTAAAAAATTACATATAAAAGAGTTTGCAAAATCAGAGGTGAATAGAAACATTTCATAAATGTCAACATCCCTTTCAGCGTGGCAAAGCCTGCAGCAAAACGCCATTGTACTCGTGCATAGGAATTGGAAAGCGAGTGTAATGTTAATTTTAATCATATGTATATATAACAGAGCAGAAAAACACCAGGCAAATAATTGTACCAACACCCAACAGACTGCTAGCAAATCTGCGGAGAAGTCCAAGGCGGCAGCTAGCTAATTTAAAACCCAGATGGGAGAACACGTTAAATGGGCATGTTAACAATAAAGAGAGGAATGGGAATCGGGACGAGGTGGCTGATGGAGCACAGCGGCTGCTGGGCTTTGGGTCTGCTTTTGGGGTAAATCCTGCCCCGCGAGGGGTAAATCCGGCAGGAGAGGGATGGCACGTCCACGTTTCTTGCCTCTCTGTGCATCGGTGCTCTGGGACATATGATTTGGCCGGGGCCATACCACCAGTGCCCGATATCGAACATTTAGAAAGTTAGGAACATTTAGAAAAATAACAATATAATGGTGTAAAGGGGGATGGCCCCATTGCCCCTCCCCGTTTGTCACTAATAGCCACATTGCTTTTGGCTGTGCTTCTCTGTATGGGGCTCGGAGGGTGCGTACCCACTGGCAAGACGTAGTTTTAGGCAGGCAAATTATAAACCCCAGAAAATAAGGGATTACAAACCCTCCCTTGCCCGTAACCAGTTAAAAGCCTGCATGCCAGCTGTATCGCAATTAAGCCCTGTCTACTCGGGTGCCTTGCAGCTCGTAAGCTGCAGCATGGGGTTAAATACCGCAGTGGAGCTGGAGCAGAAACATGCCTCTTTCAGGTCTAAATAAAAGTATATAAAAGCTTGGATTTAAGCTTGTCCAGTTCTGCTGCAGGAAAAAAAACAAAACAGGAAAAGGCTCGAGCTGAGTGTTAACATGTCGGTGGCTGCCTGACAGCAGCAGATTTGCAGCTGCCCAGAATAAATCCGACTTTGGAATAAATAAATAACAGTCAGCACAGATGTACGTACCCACGAAGCCAGGTCCCTGATTTTTCCTGCCTTGCCAAGGGGTCCCTACGGCATCGTGTGTAGGGCAGGAGCAATCCCGCAGGCAGGGGTGCAGGCAGGAGCGCAGGCAGGTTGCTGGTTTGCTGCGGCTGGCTTTGTGCCTCAGTTTCCCCAAATAAAGCAGGGGTCTTGGCTGCTTCCCCGCTCCGCAGCAGGGTATGCTGCCGCACTGGGGACCTGGGGGGGGCTGAAATTCGGGGCTGGGGGTTTGTGCGGCCGGGTCTGCAGGCAGGGCAGGGCAGGGGGAGCGGTGATTCTGCTCTCCCAGCCGCAAGCAATTTTTTGCATGGGTTATTCTCGATAGTATTTTGCCTTTTTCTGTAGTGCTGTTGGCTCAGCACCTCCCGGGGTTCGGGCCAGGTATGCAGCGGGGGCTGGGGGGGGCAGGCGGGATGCTGGGTCCGGCATCACGGGGCTGCTGCAGCCCCCACTCCCACCCCCAAATGCTTGGACCCGGCTCCCACCAATTAAAAAAAAAATTAATTTAAAAATCCCGGTTATTTTTCTTGGCCTTGCAGTTGTCAAGCCTTTCGGGGAGCGAATCCTGATGCGTTTCTGCATAACTATAGGAAGGAAAAACTCCTGGGGAACTGGGGGTCCCGGGACCCCGCGGGGGGCTGACGAGGGCCATGCCAAGCCCCTCACGGGTGGGCAGCCCGGGGGCTGCGCACAAGATGGCACCGGGGCTCCTGCGGGGGCTGCAAAGCCCCCAGGGGTGCTGGGGTGGGATGGGGTGAGCCCGGTGGCACCCTGTGCTGCGGCAGTGTCTCATGGGGGGG